ACAGAAACCACTCGAATTTCCTGGGACAAAAATAGACTCTGGATTTCACTCCAAGGTTTCTAGCAGTGCACATGAATTCGCCTTCGAAAAATTCCAATTGGATGAGGTCATGCCGGTGGGTTTTCCGCGAATTTCCCGGCGGGGCGGCAACCGGGCGCGAAGCATGGAAGGATCGGGTATTAATAATAATATTATAACATGTAACCGAGCGAGGACTAGCCAAAGCCGGGGCTGAGCGGAGAAACATTTATAAACACGGACACTGCGGCCAGACACTGAGGTGCTCGCCGGGCGGCGCGGGGAGGGGGGCCGGGCCGCAGTGCGCATCATCATTTGAGTTTATCAACATTGAAATTAGTCAGGAGTGAAATAGAGGTAATAACACATTCAAGGGTAAATTACTCTCCAGCCGCGGCCCGGCCGGGGCTGCACTGGCACTGCGCTGCGCACTGGTCAGCTCCGCCGCCCGGGTTGCCATTTAAATCAAAAATTCCCCTATAAGTGCATAAAAAGCTCGGAAAAAATAGGAGAGTTGGCAACGGGGGCCGTTGCGTTGCGTGCTGCACTGGCTCCGGCCGCCGGGATGCGCATGTTCGCAATATCGCCGTCCTCCACAGCTTCCCGCTCCGTTTGTTTTACAATAAAAACGGACCTAATACGCCGCCTTTCAAAAGCAATGGCCCAATCACAAAATCTGCCGTCCAAAGTTTAAACAATGAAGAAAAAAAACACATTGGATCTAGAGTCCAGACTCTTAAAAACATCGACAAGAAAAAATACTCTTGATTCAATCAGATTTAAGCTTATACAAGAACAAAGCCTCTTAATTTGAGCGGATTTCCTTTTAGGCTTAAATCTGATTGAATCAAGAGTCCTTTTTCTTGTCAATGTTTTCAAGAGTCTGGACTCTAGATCCAATGTATTTTTTTCCCAGTAAACGCCGTATCTCTATTCAACACTTTTTCGATTTTTTCCGGACAAAATGCTGATTTACAAAATACCCGAGAAATATTCGAGCTTCATTTTTTCAAAACAGCTCCACTACACCATTAGGAACTATAAATGAAAAAATGAAGCCTTGTGGCAATTGGATTTTCTTGTAGTAGAGCAGTGCGTGCTGGAAAAGAGGAAACGTTTTTTAGTGGAGACGGCGTTTTTGCTGTGGACTGCAGAAATGGTGGATCGGTCATTTCAGCTTCAGGATCAACAAAACAAGTAACAACTGTCCGAACACCAAGTTTCCAGGTGGAATATTGACGGGGATACCTCCCTTCCAAAAACACGGCGCATAGCGTCATCCATCATGAAGTAGGAGATACCAGGAATTCATGATGAGGACTACATTTTGCAATTAGGAACTACATTTTCTGGCTTACTACAAAAATAACATATGTGATATTGAGTACTCGGTGTAGATAGGTGTTTTCGGGTATGATTCAGAAATTGTAGGTCCTACAGCAAAACGCAGTCCAAATAGCGATATGCATACTTGCAGTGGTTGCTCGACTTAGATGCGAACAAGGTGGAGGGAACCGTGGTATACCTATGCACCACCGCGGTGTATGACTTCATACACCCGAGTTTTTTTTCAAGGGTGGTATCTCTCGAGCACAACAAAGTACCTAACTTGTACACCTCAGTATGCTTATTATGAATTGATCGAGTATGAGGGAACTCGAGTTAAGTCTATAATTCCTACTTTTAGATGGCATCTTCCTCGACATTTCAAGACGGTAATTGAAATGAGGGTACCCTCAAATAAAACGGACGATTTGGAGACGATCATTATGGGTCCTGCATCTCTCGAGTTAGGATTAAACTGAAGAGAAAGGGACAGAGGCATAAAGAATGAAAATCATCTTAAAAAAACCTCTTGAAAAATTCGTCAACCGACTGGTGAGCTTACCTACACGAATACTTCCAAGCCAGGCACCGCTGCCAGACTTAAAATGGATGTCCTATCTTTCAATTTTGTGTACTATACACTTTTAAGACCCCTACTTTTTAAATTTTGTAATACACTATTTTGATCTCTTCAGTAAGGTGTTAATGGCTCAAATGTTAAAATCACCAAATAAACGTAGCTACCAACCACCCATAAGCGCGCCGGACATACGTCGTTTCCCAGACAACGAAACGTAACTCCATCCTAAGCTTGTCAAATTGACTCAAACAATTCAACCTTTAACAAGAATGCACATGTGCAAATTTAGACATGCACATAAAGAATCCCTCTTTCAATGACATTAAAAACACAACAGCAAACGAAGGAAAAAAGTCGAGGTTCCTGCAGAAAAAGGCCAAATTACCAAGAATTGTTCGCAGGGCATATGGCACACCTCTAATCAACCTTCCTAACTACGACTTCAGCCATAAACTGTACCTCCGTTGATAATTATTGCTGAGCAGGAAAATTTTTAGAATTCTGTCGAAGAACGATTGAGATCAGGGACAAGCGAGTAGCCTAATTAGACAAATTGATCTGAAACGTAGGACAAATTTACCGCGAAAACGAAAAAGTAAAAGATTTTTATTCGCACGCGGTTCATTCTGATCTCTGCATTTCTACGAAATAAGATCCAATTTATTAGGCATTTTTACTACAGCAAAAACATTTTAACTCAATTTTATCGATTTCGCATTAAAAAGACTGTAAAATACAGGACTTTACTGTGAGTAACTTTGGGCACGATACATTTACCCGGTTCTTTTTCCTTCGTTTTTTCAGACCTCCTGACATGCGGCGTCAACGCATGACATAGCAACTTCGCTCGGTTATTGTCTGTCAAAACCCCGTCTCCCAACTTCCAACGCGCGGCTCACCGGTTCACCCGCCCTCTACAAGCCGACCGAGGTGTCTCTCTGATTATCCCTTACCGTTTGACTCGACGTCTGTTTTCACAATTAACTCGGTTTTGACAACTTGTTTCACGTCTCGGGGGTCAGTGGCGCAGGGTTGTCAAACCCCGGCAAAGATGCCCTCTGGGCGATTATTGAAATTGATGGACAAAGCTATAGACAAAGAAGACATGGGAAGTATGGAGCGATCCTATTGGTTGAAATGGGTTGTTCCTATCGACAAAGGGAGAAAATGATAGACTAACTGTCGGGTTACTCGTGAGTTGCCGTTAGTTAGTCTATTACCTACCTCCTATGTCCATTGCAACCACCCGCTTTCACCAATAAGATCTCTCCATATCTCTTTTGTCTCCTTTGTCTATTGCTTTGTCGATCAATTTCAACAATCGGAGTTATTCGTCATGAGAGGGAGGGGCAAACGTTGGAAGAGGCTCCCGTTTTGGAATACAACTAGGCTGACACATTTTTGCATCATCATCAGATGAGCATGGCGGAAATTCAGATCAAAATCCGACTAACTTAAGTCGTTAGCATGGGTATTTTTTTTTTTTTACTCTTCTTTAGGGGAAGATAGCATTGTCATAATAATTACTCTCTAGAAGAACACCTCTAAATTCATTACAAATTGCTGTTGTTTTTCAATTAGGGCCAAATGATCGATTAATCGTGGAGGACCGCTGGCAAGAAAGCGGACCTCTACATATAAAATAAATTCCATGGGAGATGACGCCTTTTCGAAACCGTTTCAAGTAAAAGTCATCGAGGAAAAAAAGAGGTAGGGGTTGTTGGATAATTGCGACATTTCCCATTAATTTTGGTAGTACCTCAATTAATTCTGGTAATGTTGCGATGCTACCATAAATAATTGGCGTTGTCCATGTCATCCAAAAATTTGGGCACAATACCACAATTAATTATAGGAGATAACCCCTACTACTTTTTTTCGTGATCATATTAGCTCACGCAAAAATAAGTATCATGAACAGTAAGATAAGGATTTAGCGATGAACGACTCAACAATCACTTTATATGTGGGGCAACAACGAATAAAAATGCATAGTAACTCCAGCGCACGAACCAGATCATGATACAATTTCATCAACTTCACTGTGGCTAAAATCACATACCCATCGAAATGTAGGGGCGTTAAACTTAGCGCCGGATGGCCTATGTTTGCCTCTCTCTCTCTTTTACTTGTGCGCTTGGGTCTGCATCATTAAAGTTGTGTTCAAAGTCTTACAAGCCATCTTAATACCGTCCAAATGAAGTTGTCTTCAAATTAAGGATGTTCCCTGATTATCTCTAATATTTTGAAGCCTCTAGTTCCAAACCCGGCAATCTCCGTTGCCCTGTCTAAAAATTGTACCTTCATATTAATTTTCTGTGAGGAATAATCAAAACGTCTGGCTGTTCATACAATTTTCGCAAATTTTCTCGCTTATTGACGAAAAATTCACAAGAAAACAAAAGAGATTTCAGTATTCCTGTTCTGTCACTTTTAAAATTAAAAGGATCGCACAATATTTAGACAAGGCAATAGAGATAGAGATTGCCGCTTTCGGAACTAGACGCCTCAATATACTTCACTCCCTGATAAATCAAAAGAATTTCGGGTTTTCTGAGTCTTCGGCACCGCAAACTGGATGGATTCCCTGTAATGAGGCGGATAAGACTAGAGTCCCTTTATACGCAGAGTTAAGACAACTCACTTTTGGTTGGGAGGGGGTTGGGCTGAAAGTGGCCTAAAAAAAAATCCAATTCTGATTGGTTCTCGCTCATGGAGGCCGAAACGAGTGCACCAAGATGGCGGTACCTTGAATGTGAACAAGAATAATGAAAAAATTACCTAATTGTGGTTTATCAAGAGTAAATTGTTATTGCCATCGGTCCAAAATGAAAATAGATTAAGAAATTATTCACAAACCAATCTCATTTTCTTTTTAATTGATCAATTTGTTGATGTTGTTGTTTTTGTGTGACAGACATCACAGGATTCCTGATCCTTATCCCTCAATATCGTTCGTTTGGGTGCACTCATTTCGGCCTCCATGGCCAGCCAAGGCCGGCTGCCAGTCAGCTGATAATCGAGTTGTCTTAACTCTGGGTATAAAGGGACTCTAGATAAGACAAAGGGCACTTACTTATTCTGCAGGTGGGTCCTGTCCAACCGGGAGTACACGCGCAATAGAACTGGCCCTCGGTTTCGCGACAGGCCCCTCCGTTGGCGCATGGTCCGGTCGCGCACGGGTTGTCCACCACCTCGCAGTTGATCCCCGAGAAGCCGTCGGGACACGTGCAGAGGTAGTGGTCAGGCGAAGTGTTCTCACAAGTTCCATTGTTTTCACAAGGCTCGTGGGTCCCGCAATAGTTGAGATCTGAAACAAAAACCACCCAAAAAATGTTCATTAGGGACAAAATGCGCGACTGGATCACCGAAAGACACACACACAAAGGTCCTTTTCTTTGAGAAGGAACGTAATTACATTTCAATGTTGCCAAATTTGCCATGCAAATTGAATTTTTACCAGGAGAAACTTGGGCATTTCTAACTGAAAATTTCATTGAAATTTCCTCTGATCTCGTGGAAAAATAAATAAAATTTGGACGAAGAATGCACAGGTACATTCTTGTGAAGAAATGATTTTTTTAAATCGATTTTGCAACCTTGGAATGCAGTTACGTTCCTGCTTCCGGGAAAATACGAAATATCACACAGGTTGCAGAATAATGCTATGACATGGTAAGAATATTGGCATTGCATCGGTATTTTGTGTATGTTACAGATCTACTGATTGAAGGGGCATCTCTCGATGAGATGGAAAAAAATTGCGGTAGAACATGCATGACGAAATTTGTCAATATGAAGTAAAAATTCTAAATTCATTACTGGTTCTTAACAGCAGGATTTAAAACGGCATGCTGTCCATAGGGTGATAGGAAATTTCGACTACGTGCCTTCAAATCAATGGTTAAATCTTCGTTGGCACTGCGCATAGAACATTGGCATTGGAGCTGATTTTTTAAATTTTTGCAGATCTCTAAGATTAATCCATTGAACACGATTATAAGTGCACTGTGCTAATCTGAATGATCGGTCACAATTCTTGTATAACACATGCAAAATAGCGGAATGATGGTGTTTGGGCGAAGACCAGCACTACGATCGAGTGCAAGCCGACAGAAAAAGACAAAGCACGACCGATTTTATTTTTCAAGGCTATCACCAGTTGCGTGGTTTGCTTTGGCGACTTTCCTGGGAGCAAGGATATTCAAATGACCGCTAAGTTCAGTCTCCGCCGTCTAACTGAACCTTAGCGGAAGTTAATGCGAGGGAAACAGGAGGTTTGGTGGATTAAGCCCCCGAGGGCAACCAGTTCTCAGTCCCATTTCTACGACGGTAATGGCATAAGCCAATATTTATCCTCTCGGGCTATCCCGAGTCGATCGATAAAACGACTCGCTCAGGAGAAAATAAAAATAGATAGCCGAACCGTTTTCTCACGGAAAGACAATTAAAAACCGGTGCCTTGCCGACTCCCGATTACCGGTCCCTCTCGATAGACAAGCGCATTAGCGAAAGGGAATTGTGCACCTCGAGGCGCGGAGCGTGTAGCACTTTCGGCACGGATTAAAGCTCCCAGGCCACAAGCCGGCGAGAGGTCAAATTAGATTAATTAATAACGATATTAAACGGAGATTAAAGTCATCGCATAATAGCGCTCTTGCGTAGAAGGTGAGAACTAAGAGGCAGATAAAACTTAGGTGGCAACATGATTCATTCACAGAAACGTGCCGCCGCCGCGCCAACTCATCCGTCGTTTAGTGCCGGTGTGAACCTGGCTTGGTCATTTCGGGGCTCACCGCTTACGAGTGAGGTTTTCCCTCTCAAAATTTAGAAAGCGACGAAAACTTCGCTTTGCGTTTTATCTTTGTCGCGATGCAATCGTACCGACTGGGGTAATGACCTTTTTCAGCATGAGAATGAAAGGAGCGGAATAAAGTGCATAATCAAAAATCGCGCAAATTAATGATTTTACCCCTTCATTCTGATTTGCCAAAATGAGATTTTTCGGATCAATGAGGCATGAGTTATAATCGCCTTTGAATTACACTCTTCGAAATAGAGATGAGGAAAATACCTCAGTGACTTGAACGCAAGAGTAGGAATAATAATTTGAGTTGTTTTCCTTTTTTCCATCCATAAAAGGCATGCGCAGTGATCGCCTTTGCATTACACTTTGAGATGAATATGAGGAAAATGACTCAGTGACTTGAACGCAAGAGTAGAAATAAGAGTAATGAAGTTTTCATTTTTCCCGCCCTCCATTCATAAGGGCATGAGTTATCATCACCTTCGAAAAACGCCATTTGAGACGAGGAAAATAATTCAGGGACTTGAGCGCAAGAGTAGGGATAATAGCTTAGAGTTTTCTTTCTGCCTTTTTTCTCCCTCCTCCATTCATAGAAGCATCAGTATTGATCGCCTTTAAATATCGCTATGAGAGTTGAAGATGAGGCAAAGGACTCGGTGACTTGAACGCATGAGAAGGAATAACAACTTAAGTTTTTTTCCCTTTTCCCATTCATAAAAGCATGAGCTATGATCGCCTTTGAATCGCACTATTAGAAATAGAGATGGGAAAACTGCCTCAGTGACGGGAACGCAAGAGTAGGAATAATAACTTCAATTTTTTTCAATCAAACAAATCCCAATAATCGAATTGGGACACACTTTCACCGGCAGCGCCAGGCTCAATAAATGGCAGCCTAAAGTAGGCACAACATCAGTTTAATAGCGCAGGATCGGCGAGGAGCCAAACAAGATGCACATTCTGCAACGTCCAGCGGCGAGTGAAAAGAGCGAATCAGGCGAATGGTTGCGTTTTCTCGACGACAAAAACCAAGCAACATCCTAAAACGGGCTCGGCCGGAAAAAATAAGTCGCTGGATGCATCAATAAAACGCTTTTATTTAGGTAGTAGGCACTGATCTGATAACCACTCGCCGGGTAATAGCGCCGACCTCCCAAAAGTAGACCGGGGTTGCCGGGTCGTGCAGGAATCGGCCCGCGAGACGATGCTTCCCTCGCGCGGAATGGGAGATCTAGTGACTCTGTGACGTAATGGTAGCGCGCGCTCATAAAGTGGTCTGCACAGCTCACAGCCGAGTGCGGACATCGTTGGACTCGTGGACCAAGAAGCAAGATCGCGTGTATGTTATGTGCGGCTCATAGGGGATTCCGTGCGGAAAAAGTGCACGTCCGGCAACACAGCTTGTGGAAAAAAGCCCATAAAGTAATATCGGCGCACTGGACAAAAATGCGCCTAATTGGATTTAATTGCAGAGTTGCCGCGCGAGTTTTTCTGAAACGTGAAAATGTGTGCGAAGTAAAGAGGAAACTTCAAAAGTTATTGTTAAGTCATTTGCTGGTCTGCACTGACCCTTCAGCGACATTTTCTGACTTAAAAAAGTAGAGCAAGCAGAAGTAACACAAAGGGGTAATATAGGATTATGTACATTGCTATTTCACCTTCGATTTGTAAGATAGGACACAAACATCCTTCGAGCAGTGATAGTTACTTCTTCGAAAATTTGTGCCGCAGAATATCAAAGAATCTTGCTTCAGGGTATATGAAGTCCAAATCCAACCTAAGTTTGTTGTCACTCATTCAAGACCAGCGCTAAATGATAAATAAATAATAAGATAAATTAATTGTATCCTAAATCTCCAGCGTTCCCCTGACGGACGCTTAGGAAAACGCTTCTGTGACCCCTCTAATTTCTTAGGCTGTCTAAAATATACTTCCAGTGAACTCGAACAATTCGTAATATTAACAGTTGAGATTGCCACCACTTTGATAAATTGTACTTTGGAAAGTTTTTGAGCTAACATGTCGGTCCAATCTTGACCTGTTTCAAAATTCGATTCAAATTTTGTGACTTTCCAATTGATTTTCATGCGTCATACTTCTAAGAGCTTGACTCTTTTTTTACGACTTTAACGTTGGCTAAGCGCAGAAATTGAGCTGGCCATTGTTGGCGAATTTAAAAGTCATACTTTGAGCGTACCTCTGGAGTCTAGACCCATTTTGGATTGGAACTACATAAACGTATCGTAGAACAAATGCATCAAACGAATGGTAAAACCACACGGAGAAAAACTTCCTTGGGCAAAGGTAAAAAAATCGTCACTTCAAACTATGCCTCACCATTTCTCAAAAAGAAAACAGATATTCATTTGTAAATTTGATAGATATTCATGGTTATCCCAAGGGACTTCTAGTTCTCTTAGAGAGAATTTTGGTTTTCCGGAAAAAAAATTCAACGGCGAAAATATTAAGAGGACTTTCTGGTGGATGCTCCGGGAATTTTTTCTCCGCGTGGTAGAAACAGTAACTCTTGCTTATTACGATGCTTCGTATTTTTTAACAATTTACGTAGTGATGAGATCAATGGTTTATGTTTTTCGGATGAACAAAAATAAGTGGTTAACGCGGGTCAAGCGGCAACGGGGAGTGAAAGTCCCGTTGGGGTCCAGTCAAAACAATGGCGAAAGGGCTCGCAACGGGGCAAAAAATCGCCACTTGGATGATTGACCCATAAATTCGGCCCAGAAGAATTGACAATCTTGTCCTTATTCCCGTCGCTCCGAAGGCCGCCGTCCCGATTATGCTGATGAACTTTTGGTTTCTGCCCTTCCTCCTATTCTTTGAGATGCACTCAGATCAGGAAAGCCAGGCGAAATTTATGTTGCAGACCATTAGCAACTGCCGGAAATTTGCAAGCCATCGGTAAATGAATAGAGTAGCAAAATATTTAGAAATAAAAGAAAAAGATTAGAATACTATTATTTTGCCTTTAATGAGAACAGATACTTGCTCATCCGTAGAAATATGAAAGTAACGGCATAATCAGGAGGGCGTGTAGTGGAAACCGCGACCTATATGGTTGGGTTCAAATCGGACGAGCAACTAAACTAACTCCGTGACAAAGCGTAGAGTATCACAAAAAATGAAGGCGCTCCAAGAGATTATTATTTTCATCGCCAGTACCCATCAAACCCTCACTACACTTGTTGCCTGTGCGTATTATTGCGCTTTATCTTAACAATACCTTTAGCAGTAGTTCTAACCTATCACATGGTTTGATCCAGCCATATTCATTGACTGAAAAAATCTCACAATTGAAATGATAGACATTCATGATTCATGCTGCCAGATTCTTTCAGTTTTAGCTCCAAAATGGGCGTTGAAAAGGCGAGGTGAATTTTGCATAGGAATGTTATTTCTCTCCTCTACCAAGTAATATTAAGCGTGTAAGCAAAAGTATACCATCAGCTAACAGGGCCGGATTTAGTGAGTGGCCACATGGGCCG